TGAACTTAATTAATTATAACATGATATATCTGTAAATTATATATATTGTTTATATGTACAAGGTTTTAATTTAATTTTTCAAAAATATGTAATACGTAATCTAAATTATACTTATTGACTAATGTAAGTGATGCATCACCGATTTTGTAAAATAAAATTTGAATGACCTCGTGGCATACACTATATTGACTATGCCGCTTATATATTATGGTATATACATTTATCCATACTTGTAACATTAGTTTGTAATTAAACATTCTATTATTTATTTATTTTTCTTTAATTTTTAGTAATGAAAAATGTTTATTAATTGTATTAATTTTATAAATATAAAAACAAAATCATTACAGGAAGTTAAAACTAAATACCATACTTTTAAAATACATTTTATAAAAATAATTCAATAGTTTTTACCACAAATAGTATTAGTTTTAGGTAATTATTTTGAGTACACGATTTATACATTTGAATTTAATAATCATAGTCGGATGTGTGATTTTTTAACGATCGCTATTCGTCACTTAGATATATTGAGTTTATCAATTAAATACTACTTGAATAAATAATTCATATAGAATTTTTTAATTTGCAAACGTAAATTTTATTTATATTTTAAGAACTGTTTTAATTATTTTTATTCATAAGTCAATTGATATTTCAAAGATTCATCTCTTCATCTAATTGCAGTTTGTCTCAACAAAACAATTATAATTAATGTGTTTCCTAAGTATAAAAATAATATATCTGAAAAATGCTTGTGTTGAAATGTGAAACGTTAATGCTTAATGATAATAAAGATATTTTAATTTATTATCAATTATTTATCCAAAGTTCATCAAACTGGTATAAAATTGCATAAAGTGTTTTGTTTGAAATGTTTATCAATGTAACATATTTTTTTAGATGATCATAATCTTGATAGATTTTTATAACATTAGTTAGTGGTATCAGGTGTTAAATTTGTATTATAAACTAGAATCAAGGTTCTAATTTATACAATTAAAACAAGAGTCTTAAGTTTAAATACTTGGGAGTAAATTTTCTGATTGATAATGTACTTTATTTATTTTAATTTATTTGTTCTTATTAGATTCAAAAAGTTGATAAATAATATAAAAAATATTGACAATTATTACTGTACATTGGTAAAATGGCATAACAGCCAAATGTTTTTATCGTGGTTTTTGAGCGTATTATAAAAATGATCATATACGTCTTATGTGACTTTGCGATTGACGTCAATTGTCTAGGAATTTACAAATAGTTTGTTGCTGTGATACCTACACGGTTATTTTTATCATAAGTTGAGAGGTTTAAAAATGTATTGATTCATTTTGCTAAATGTTAGATTATTATATTATATATTGAATAAAATATAATTTAATATTATTATTTAGTAATTTTACAAAAGTACTATATAAATAAACGTGGTATCTTTACAGTTTTTAAAGTTATTATAAAATAATAATTTCTATAGCAAAAAAAAAAAAAAAATAAATAAATAAAAATGAAAAAAAAATTTAAATTAATAATAATAATTTTTTTTTTTCCAGTAGATTTTTTTAAATTTTATTTATAAAAGTATATTTACAATCTATACAGAAAAGTAAAATAAGTAAATTTGACAATATAGTAATAGTAAAGATGACTTGGTTGGCTTGAAGGGGAAAACCGTATGTCAACAACACCTCCTGAGTCCTATTTAATTTGGTGGGTTCATGTGAAGAGACTGTTTTAATTTTTTGATAATACTTATATTGTATTATTGTATACATTTTTAAGGCACTCCTTAAGTAATGCAACAAAATTCAAAATTTTAAAAATACGGTCTTTGAGTGTATTTTAAATTTTCGCATATAAGAATTTGAATAAATACATTATAAAGGAAAACATGTGGGCAAGCATGGTTAATGAATAAAATTACTCTGTACATACTTAGATGTAAATATCTCAGAATTGTACGATTTGGATAATTAATTTATCACGATTATTTTTCAAAGCACTTATTGTTGAAGTATACAATTACTATACATGATAATGGACTAGGATTTTTTGCATCATAGTAATTTCGTATAAGATACATAATTTTATAACAAATTAAATTTTAAAAAAAGCAGGCAAGTTACTTACTTTTATCACTCTGCCGTATAGTATGCTGTAATAGTTTAGTACTGAAAGCTATGTATATATATAAAAAAATATATATAATCATATAAATAAAAGTTGTAAGTCCCCACAAATAATATATTTAAATTTTAACAAAATAACTAAAGTTGTTATTCTTTGTTTATTACCTAGTTTTGTCAATATCAAATAATTATAAATAAAAATTATGCTAATGTATCAAATACTATTTTTTAATTGTTATAGGAACAACTTATATGATAAATTGTAATAAATTTTCTAGCTTTTTGATCGGACCTAAAATTGTTTATCTATACTCAATTTAAAAGCTATATATAGGTGATATAATTTTATGAATTTGAAGCTATAAAGTAGCTGACAAATATTTTTGATTTTGACGAATTTCATTTAAATTTGATCTTTGATTCTTTAGAAAAATAGTTTTAACTATATATTTTTGATATTTTTTTATTTACTGTGAGAATAACGTACATGGAATTTCGTATTTAATTTTCAAGGTTTTTACACTCAAGCAGAAATTTGATTGGTCTTATTATTTTGAAAATTACATAAGTTTAAGTAAATATGAATATTTTAAGTCTATGGTTTTTATTTTTGAGTTACAAAAAACAATTGATTTGGATAGGTTTTATTTTGGCTTTTCCAGATAGTTTTAAAAATTAGCAGGAATTTTTTATTTTTAGTACCAACTTGATTCAATTTGCTTCTAGAAATCACTTTTAAGACAAAAAAAATAAATACATATCATTGTTAAACTATTATGTTTACACTCTATATTCTCGCCCCGTTTAGAATTTAAGTGTTTATTTTTTATTAACATTTCAGACCTTGAATTATCTAATGCTAAAAATATATTTTGAAATTTTCACGTTTTATTATTTGTAAAAGTATAAGTACGAGTATACTGTATAGGTTAGATATTTTTTAAATTACTAAAAATTAATAATGAGTAATTTTGGATTTTTGACTTTGGTATGCTCATTAGTTCTTAAAATATTTTATTTATGCATGATATCTAATTAGGTAACTACCATTCAAGAAAATTGCTAATAATTATTAAATATTTTGCTTACATCACTGAAAATTTTAATAGGTATGTGACGCCACATATCGTAAATTTAGTTAGTATACGGTAAAAAAAAAACTAAAAATGTAAGTAGCTAAATGATTGATAAAAGTGAAAGTGATATATTTTGTAAACATAATTGAGTAGGGTTAGATTAAACTACACATATATAAATATTATAAATAGATAAATGGAATGGGAATTTGGTTATACATGTTAGGTAAGTACTGAAATATTGAAAAAATAATAATATTACGTGTTCAACTTGAGATAGAGCGTCCAAATCGTCACTATATTATTATAATATTGTTGCTATGCAATACTCATAAAATATTATATTATAATCGCATAAATTCACTAAAACTTTTGATCGGCATCTCGATTATTAAATAGAAAATGGACTGTTGTAAGGTATAGAATATTTGTGAACATTTAATATTCAATAACCAGTTGTAACTTCAGATGGTATTTTGCCTTCAAATCTACTTAAAAAAGTTTTACTTTTTAGTTGATTTTTACGTGTAGTTAAATAGTCAGAATGAGCCAGGATGGTATATAATATGTATTTTATTATTTTGTAAAAGTTTCAGTTATGGTGAATCCACACCGCGTGATTTTAAAAACAAAAAAGAGGATTGTAATTAATTAGGCAGTTTATGCTTGTGTCTCAATAGTAATAATAATAATAATAATAATAATGGTTCATACTCATAGTTGGTTACAGAAATGACCTAATAACATTCAATCGTGCAGTCATTGCGCACTCTGGCCGTTTTATTACAATCGTTTGCGTATAATATTAATATAATTTACACAGAGCCGCAGGAATCGTAACACATTTTAGATTTCGCTCTGGTGATTTATGATTTATAACCTGGTCATATTGTATGTATTACGAAATCTTAAGTGCGTAATACGAAATTACAAAGTGCATACAACTTTGTGTGGGTGTTCATGCTTCGTTGCGCAATTTTGTTTATTCATGTTTCTATACTAAACAAAAAAATACGAATAATAGGTATTAAATCTTATAAGTTATAACACTGTCTGTTGTTATGTACAGGGTGGGAGAGATATGTTTATTTCATATATTTGCGAATTAGTCTATAGCCATACCATCCAGTTTTCAGTCGAACAATTTGTTTTTTTAATCTTAGTATCATTCAACTGTCTGTAAACTCTGAGTTTTATCCGAAAATTTCTTGAACTCTAAGACAATGTATTCAAATAACTGAAATAAACGAATTTCAATATCACATTAATATAGTATAGAAATTATAGAATACGCATGCATCAAAAGCTCGCGTGGATAATAATTTCTTATAATAGGCATACCCAGTTTAAAAGTCGTAACCAAACAAAAATGTCGAAAAAAAATCTTTCGAAAATCAAACATTCAACATTTACTTATGGTAAATTAGTAAACATTTTATTCCAACGATCTATGTAATAAGACTTGAACATAATGTTTAAATAATAAAAAATAAAAACGATTGTTTTCTAACCCGACGACAATGGGCGCAAGCTCGTGCGATTGTGTCGCGCGTGTGTAGAATTTATGTCATTATGGTCTTGTAAACATTTCTGACTGGTTCTGCTCGGGTTACGTAATCCGTATAATATTATTAATAATAGTAATAATGCGACTAAACGGAATGGTGTGCGCAGTGAAGGGTAGGGAGTGGGCGCGCGCATTCGTGACTCGCTTGCTTACTGTTGCACGTCGAGAATTGCCAGTCGGCAGTCACTGGCCAGTCAGTCAGTGGGGGCGAAAAAAGGAGCACGGCATACACGTGCTTTACGTATGAATTTACAGTTGGACGTGTATCGCGGTTGGACTGATTTTGTTTTCCACCATATAAACCAACAATTAATATATGTTTTGTATGTATATATTTAAAAACTATGGTCATCGGAGTTTGAAATCGTTGATAAATTCGTGTTTTAAAAATAAATTTTATACTCTCGATAATATAAACGATATTAATACTCGATTTAAGCGGGTGGAGAAAAAAAGTATTCGATCACATTCTTGAATAGGATGATAACGCACTCAGCGCATATGACCGATGATATATTAATATATTATTATGTTTACAATTTTATTAAATAAATAGTGAATTATTACATGTAATGTGTAAACGTACACAAATTTACTATATAGTATATATTGAACATAATATGCTGGTGACGGTAATCGAACACAGTTGCCAATGACTATACGTTTCAGGGGTAGTTTAATATAACAATAAATTAGTCGTAATATGTTTACCGATCTATTAGTTATAACTGTTATAAGACATAAATATTTTACAAGATAGGTTGCGTAATATACCAACAATATTTAATTTTTATTTTTAGTTGAGTAAGACATCGACGTCTGATATTATTTACATTTTAACAAAAAATGCGCGTGATCGACAACTATTGTATTATTATTTTTGAATTTAATAAGTATAATATTACATAAAATGGTATAATATTAAATACGAGTGGTATTTGCAGGTTAATGTCGTTCTTCATTCAAGAGGTGGAAATTAGCATTAATGATTTTATGGCCAAAGTGGTAGCAAACGACAATTTCTCCGGTCTATACATCAGTGCGTATGGCGGGGGCGGACAACAGCATCACCAAGAGCAGCAACAGCAACAGCAGCAGCAGCAGCAACAGCAGCTGCAACAACAACTGCAGCAGCAACAGGAGGGACTGCAGCAGATCCAAAATGGCAGTGTCGACGTCGGTTACAACAATTTGGAAGCGTGCATCGAGTACGCCGATTCGGTGGCCAAGTGCGGCCACGTGTGCGAATCCTTGGCCTTGTACGCCCATTGTTTCCGGATGGGTCCACTGCCCGCAGATTGCCTGTGGCACGTGACCTCGGCGTTTCTCGACTTGATTCGGCAGCAGTTCGACGACTCGCAGACAATTCCAAATCCCTCGTCACCACCGCCACAGTCGCAACAACAGCAGAACCAACTCAACAACTATCAGCACCACAATAGCCACGTCTACCACCACAATGCCCACCACGGCCATCAGCAGCAACAGTCTTGTCCGTTCGTTTGCTGCGTCTGTAGCCTGGTGCTCCGAGAACCGGTCACGTTGCTGTGTGGTCACACGTGTTGCCGGAAGTGCGGGGGTGGTACTGCTTGCAAGCCGATAGTGTGCAATAAGTGTGGCGCGCGCACGCCGTTCCAGCCACACGTTGACGTACTGGTCAAGTCATTGGTCGAGAAACTGTGGCCGGTGCAATTGCGGGCCTCCGAGCTGCTGGAAGAGGGCAAGGCTTTGTACAGACAAGACAAGATCCACTTGGCCCTCATAAAGTTCAACCAGGCATATTACACCGGTATGACGTTCGATTTTAATTTTATTTATTACTGTGCGATAGTGAGTTTTTAGATTGAAAAGGTCAGTGACCCCATTTCACTATATAGGTATAGTTTGAATATGTGCACTGCAGAGTATAGTGTAAATACCATGGTAAATGGTAGGTTGTTAGTCGTATACATCAAAACAATTTATTAAAATATCTGCAATGTATCCTGAACTAAGGTTACTAATTTTATAATTAATTAACATACTGTTTATATAAACTTCTGAAATATATAACTGACAAGTAAAACGACCTAGGTCCTTTGAAATACTAAAAAAAAATTATTTTGAAATCTCATTTGATTTCCAACTAGTTGCTGGTGTCCAATAATTGTATAATATGATAGCATAATATTTACTCAGTTAATTTATATCGCGTGATAAAATATTACGTACATAGTACTAAAACCTACTTTTTTTAAAATTGTATCACGAAATATGTTAAAACAAAAATATATGCATTTATAAGACTGAAATCGATCAATATAATTTATAATTTTTATTTAAAGGTCTTAAATCTTTGTAATAAAAAATGGGGTTTCGTATATTTTTTTTTTTTTTGTAACCATTTAACGTTTATTTATATTATGTTATTCGGTGGCTCGGTGCCTAATGACAAAAATTTACAATATTCATTTTAATTTCATATTCTGTAGCAGAATATTTTTTGGAGTATTTTGATTCGTAAAAATCAAAATTCGGAGTAATGAGCCACCAATATTTTGTGGAGTATGACCGTACTACTTCACTCCGTTCACCAAAACTTTAAATATTTATAAGTTATAACTTAGGAACTTATAGTTTGAATTTTGATTTCTATGAATTAAAATATTTAAAAAAGTATCCTACTTCAGATTATGAAATTAAAAATGTATGCTGTTATTCAAAAAAGTAAAAAACTTGAACAATTATAACGATACAAAATATTAAAAAAATATAAATTAAAAAAAAAAAGTTAGTTCATTTTGATAAAAAATTATATAAAAAATATTTTCAAGTGTTAATAGATTTTGAAATAACGAGTGTTGTTTGATAAAATAATCACACAGTATAGGCGTAGTACTTTATATAGCAGTTAGTTAAATACATATTAACTAGTAAGTATATCTTATATAATATATACGTATACTCATATGTGTGTAAAACAAAACTTACAAGCTACTATACTTATTATATATATTAAGTTATCATAAAGACATAAAGTTAAATCTGAGAAAAATGAATCATAGCCGTTAATTTTATAATATAATATTAAATTATAAAAATTGCAATACATTAAGTAATATTAATGTATCCATATGGTACTCATATATAATAAATATTTAATTTAAAATTTAAGAATTTTTAATTGAGGTAGATTATTTACTTTATTATTTAAATTTTGAATAACGATATTAAATTAAAGGAGAATTTTAATTATTTTTGTGATTTTTTGAAGAAAATATATTTAAAATCTTAAAACTTATTATAATTAGATATTTACCATTTAAAGAATAGTATACGTTAACCTTTGAAATTTAGAATACATTTTTTGATAAATTCAAAGCTGCGATTTAAAATTGTAGTATTAGGACACTGTATAAGAACTACATATTTCAATTGTGAACGAAATAGGGAAATATATATAATTTTTATTGCCAATGAATTATTATTTATTTAAAATATCTAAAAGAGGAATATCAAAATAAAATGTATAATTAAGTTTATATCAAAAAAATAATAGTGATAATAGCACCGATAAAAGCTCCTTGTAAGATTTATATATAAACGAATTTAAAACTGTATTTGAAAAACAATTTTCGTATCGCTGATACGAATGAGTAGTTTTTAACAATGGAGTTTTAGTTTATGATTTACAAAGGTGATAATATCTAATAAATTTAACATTTAAACTCATTCAATAAAAATTAAACTTATCCGAACATTATAATTTTATGAAGATTTCTAAGACAATATTAATATTTTCTGGATATTAAATAAGATTAAATTAGGCTCTAAGGGTTCTAAATCGTCAATCAATATTTTATATTACTATTCATAGATTGAAATGAGAAATATAGAGATTAGAATGCCTGTTTTTTTCTTAATTTGTGTAATTTTAACAACATGTTAAACAACTGTGCTTGTTAAATTAATGTAACAAAAACGTTAATTTATTATATTTTCATGAAATTTCATTAAATCGTAGAGTGTGTAAAGGTTCACTTTGTTCATTCGATAATTTAATTTATTTATTTTGACTATAGTTTTTGATTTAGTTTAGTGATTTATTAATAATTTCTTGTTTTTTTCTATATAATGTTATAAAGTTGTAATAATTTATATATTAGCCATTAGGTATTGAATCTTAGTAAACAACGTTTTGAAATTATTTAAAAAACGATAATATATTAATGCATAACACACCCAAAAAACTACTAATCAGCAACCGTAATAATATGTATAATATATATATGCGTTTAAGTCAATCATATGATTCATATGTATCTTTTTTTTATGAATATGCGTATATGTTTGTTTCAAATGAGGGTCTTATATATATATATTATAGTTATACAATAATATGTGCCAAAATATAATTGTTCATGCAAAAAAATATATCGCTGTTACGTGCGTAAAATAATATTATCTAACTCGTGTTGTAGGTAATATTTTTATCGGTTATGGTTATAATCTACGAATTGGTTTAATTAATTTTTTATCTATTTTGACCCATGATATCGTTTAATTTTTATTTCACAAAATGTAAAGATATAAATCGTTGTCTTAATCATTTATAAAAACTTGATGATTCCTTTAATTTATTTATTGTTTACATTATTCACATTGAAAATTATCTTTATTATCCAATGAGTATTTTTTAATAAAATATTGTGGAAAATTTTTTTGAGATAAATAACTTGATTAAATAGAACTACGCACACGGGAGAATAATTTAAAGTAAAAACATTGAGTAAACCAATTAACAATATTTAAATTACAATTACGGATGTGGACATAAAACATTAGTATGATATATGAGAACATAAGTCATAATATATTATAGTTAGATATGAGCGTAGCAAGATACATAAAATAAATATAAATTACAAACAGTTTATACCTTACTATTATCTTTGATATAAAAACTTAATAAATACAAAAAAATCATTTATAAAATTATTACAAATTAGCAAATAAAGTGAGTATACCTAATAAAAATATTATTTTTTTTTCATTAGAACTTCTAGTATAAGAATTTTAAAATATTATTTCCATTAAAGAAGCGAGAGCGGTAAATCATTTACATTTGAATACAATTAAACTATCAAATATTAAAATTTTATCTGCATTTCATTGTATTTTTCTATTGCAACAAATATTATCAATTAAGTATATACTGTTATATTTAATAGTTTATAAACCTACCTATGTATTACTATACTCGTATTAGCCATTAGGCGAATATTTAACTGTTCCGTATTTGCGCGCGTCGTTTTTTGAAAGAATAACCCTGGATATTTGGTGCAGTGACGCCGAAGTAAAAAAAAAAATATGTAGGACAAACATTTAAAACAAACTCCCATACATTCGGTTGTTTAAGCTACCAAAATAGATTTACTCACCCATCATCAATTTTATATGTAAGACAATTGCCCTACATTAACATAGGGTTTGGCGCCACTGATTCGGTCCAAAATATAGTATCGAGGTAAACTGCAAATTCAATATATTTAATATAATTTTGTTAAAATTTACATTGTTCTTGGTTTACTGAAGTGTTGTGAAAAAACACTTGTATTATATTATCATACCGTATATATAATAAATATAAATTTATAGTAGAATGTAGCTGTTGGGTAACACTGTTGAATAAGTACTTGATGATTAATGCTATTAATTGACTTCCTGTTATTTACCTGCCAATATCAATGATCAAATTTACTTATTTTACTTTTATCTGTATAGAATGTTAATAATTTTAATAAATAATAAAATAGATTAAAATCGAAGTTTGAAAATATATCAAGTACCTATTAAGAATGTAAATAATATTAATTTATACAAAATATGATTCTATTATTAAACACAATTATTGTACACATTAATCTGTTTTATTGAATTGTTTTTAGAACGAAAACGAACAACTAAGTTATTATATTTTAAAAGTATCTTGCAGCATCTAATTTCTGCTTCTTTTACATTTATAATTTTACATAATTTTTTAGTGAGCAAAATAAATAAAAATAAGTATCAGTATTATATTGTTATATTCTGAATAGAGCGATGAATGTATTGATTATATAAATTTGTATTTTGACCTAATCTTTGAAGTACCTATTTATATTAATCCAATAATCAATTTCAATGTATTGTATAGTAGGGCAGTGAGTTTATTTGGTAATATGGGGGGAGGTTAAACATAAAAAAAAATTGGTAAAATAATTTTTGTTTTTACTTAATATTCGATAAAAACAAGCCAAAACCAAAAATTAAAAAAAAATAAAAGGGAAAACAGGAATTGTTGCTCAAAACCAGTTTTTGACAAAATTGACACTTGAAATTTTTACCAATTGTTTATACTGTATAAGAATTTTCTATTTATGACATAATGATATAAATCTTAAAAATGTTAGCTCTTTATTTGTTTTTTTATAGATTTCTATTTAAATTTTCTACTTTTTTTTAGTTATTTTTCAGTATACAAGTAAATAGGTAATTTGTTTTGTGAGTTATAAAACTTAAAAATTTAAAACAAGATTGCTTGTAAATTATTTATACTAAAACTAACAAAATTATTGAGCAGTGTAAAAATTTTACTATAATTATTTATGAACGTAAATTTACATTTTAATTAAAATGGATAAGATTTCTAATTTCGAATCTTAATTAATCAAATTTTGGTTTTTTTTTACTGTGACTCAAAACATTTAAAATCGTAAAACCTTAAACATTCTACGTACTTAATGACATTTTCAAGATATTTCGACAAAT